CCAAGGAGGATCACCAGAGCAAGTGAACAAGCCTGGAGATGGGTGCGCAGGGAGATTGAGTTTGACGGGTTGCATTGGGCTACCGGGAGACGATACTCCTGAACGGGCTGGAGGCCTGGTTGGAGCACTGGGAACCGGTGCTGTCGGGCTTGATGGAGGCATGCAGGCTGTTGTAGATCAGCCTACCACGACATCGACCTTGTTGGGAGATGATGCACTACGACAATTCCCACCGATGCCCCCGCCATTTGTGAGCGAAGAGGGTAAGGTGAAGGCGCCTGACGCCGTCGTGAGGTCAGCGCAAAAAGTGAGCGAGGGAGAGAGTTTTATCGGTCAATCCATCTCAGAACTCGGGGGGGTTACTGGTTCGCTGGTTCATGGAGGTTTCACCACTTCGCAGCCAGACCACGGGCAAGGTGAACAGTAAGACTGTTTTTCCCTTGCCCACCTCCATTGAGCATTTTAGGAACATGTGGCCTTCTGGGTTCGAGAATCTTTGGCAGTGGATGAGATGTGTGTGTGTCGGGTTGAATTCGTTTTGGGGAGGACCCCTTTGCAATGATTCAAAGGCTTCAGAAATACAAGAAAAGGTGATGAGGGGGCTTTTCATTGAGGTTGAACGCTTTTGTGAGCTTGGACTGAAGAGCGTGGGTGTTGATTGGACAACGTTTTTTGCCGTGCGGGGTATAGACTACAAGGGTGATGAGGTGAAGGTGGCAAAATGGGTCACATGGGCAAACATCGGGCCGGCGCTGCCAAAGGAGATTGGAGCGGTGCCGCTGGAAGAGGTGTGCTCCTTGGGCTGTCGGGAGTATGTCGAGTCCTTTGATCGGTTTCTCAAGCCGAGTCATCTTTGGGGTAAGATTTCACAGCCCAAGGTTATGGTAGAGGATGCAGCCTGGGGTGAAATGTGCGCAGGGCTTGTTGAGTCGGGTGTCTGCTGTTATCTAGAAGAGTCGGAAGTGTTCCATGTCGGGAGTACCCCACTCCTGAACGGACTATTTGGCGTTTCTAAGGAAGAGTGGACACCTGAAAATGTTGAGATTTGCCGGCTGATTATGAATCTGGTACCTTTGAATGAGTTGTGTGAACCATCATGGGGGATGATGAACCCCTTTTTCCTCCAGCCTGATGAGAGCCTTTTGATCTCATCTGAAGATGTGAAGTGCTTTTTTATACCATGAAGGTGCCACGTTGCTGGACGAAGTTCTTAGCATTCAACAAGGTTGTCCCTGCACATGTTTTACCTCCTGAACTTCGAGGGCATACTACCTATCTTGCGTCACGGGTCCTGCCTATGGGATTCCTTAACTCGGTGAGCATTGCACAACATGTGCACAGGAACAGTGCGTTGGTCAACGGTGGATGGTAGGGCCGCACATGTGGAAGATGCCGAGCTGCGAAAGGATAGAAGCTTCACCGTGGCTAACCCTTGTTGGCGTGTCTACCTCGACAACTATGACGTTCTGGAGAAGGTGGTTGCAACGGGCATGGTCGAAGTCGAGGGAACGGTGCCGGAAGGGATTCTGGCACTGCGCCAGGAGTATGAGCGCTGGGACGTCCCGAGGAACGTGAAGAAGGCCGTGGAGCGTTCGACGAGGTGTGAACTGCAGGGTGCAACGGTTGATGGCCTCCGTGGAGTTGCCATACCCAAAGAGGCAAAACAGGAGAAGTACTTCAGCCTGGCGATCACCCTGATGCAGCAGCGGAAGGTCAGCCAGCGCCAGATGCAGGTGGTATGTGGAGGCCTGGTCTACTTCTCCATGTTTCGGAGGCCGATGTTGGGAACGCTCAACGCGGTGTGGCGCTTCATTGAGAGCTTCAATGATGGAGAGACTAGGTATCAGGTTTTGCCAACGGAGTGTAGGTTGGAGTTCATCCGATTCCTCTGTCTCTTGCCCCTGCTACGCATGGACTTCCGCACTGAAATGCACCCCATGGTGGCATGTTCGGACGCCTCACTGAGTGGGGGTGGGGTATGCCGTTCAATAGGCCTAACCTCAGTGGGCAGCATGGCTGTGGAAGGTGACTTGCGGGGGCAAAAACCTCAGCCCCTGGACTCGTTGCAGGTGGTAGTGATCGGTCTCTTTGACGGGATAGGAGCGCTTCGGGTGGCCACTGAGCTGCAAGGGGTCTCCGTCCTGGGATACATCTCTGTCGAGAAAGAGGCATCAGCGCGCAGGGTTGTCGAGTCGCATTATCCGGGAGTCCTTCATTATGATGATGTAGCTTCTGTTCAAGATGAGGACATCAGGGGATGGAGCCTGAAGTTTTCCCAAGCAGCATTGGTCTTGATTGGAGCCGGACCCCCGTGTCAAGGCGTCTCGGGATTGAACGCCGATCGCAAGGGGGCATTGCGCGATGCACGGTCAAGCTTGTACGTCCATGTCTCAAGGATCTCGCAGCTGGTCAAGGGGCACTTTCGGTGGTGCCAGGTGCATACCCTGATGGAAAGTGTGAGCTCCATGGACCCCGTGGACAGGGACCACATGAGCAGGGATTTTGGGGAACAACCAGTGCACATCGATGCTGGAAACCTCACTTGGTGTCACAGGCCGCGTTTATATTGGTGTACTTGGGAGCTTGTTGAAGGCGAAGGAGCAACTCTGGACACGACGCAGGCAGTCGATGTGTGGTGGCTTGTAGCGAGACAGGAGCTAGCAGAGGTCGTGGAAGCCGGCTGGGACAAAGTGGATCCAACCACATCCTTCCCTACCTTTACAACCTCCAGGCCGTCAGCAACTCCTGGCAGGAAGCCCGCAGGGATGCGTGAGTGTGCCACTCATGAGCTGCAACGCTGGGGTGACGACCTTCATCGGTTCCATACCAATATATGGACCGGCATGGCTTGGTCAATCGCCACGGTGAGGTTCGCGTGCCATCAGTCGCGGAACGCGAAGTCATGCTTGGTTTTCCATTGCGCTATACGGCAGGATGCTGCTCCAAGAGCGATCGCAAGAGGGATGGGTACCTGGATCGACGGCTTACATAGCTTGGGAACTCGTGGAGCGTGCCGGTGGTCGGATGGCTCCTGAGCCAGTTGATCTCACGCCTCGTGGGTGATGCACCCATGACTCCACAAGATGTGGTCGATAAGACACGTCCCGGTGCCGCGGACACCATCCAGGGACGCTTAGTCAGGTTGCCCCTGCGGCGTGCCGGACCGGGGGCAGGTTCGGAGCAGGAGTTGGCATTCAAGTTGCGCAACATGGTAAGCATGAAGGGCGAAGATATACTGCTGAGCACCCCAAGCACACAATTGGTCAAATTCCATCGTCTGAGGGCCACCATTCCAGCCAAACTCTGGCGGTGGCGAGTGGTCACAGGATGGAAGTGGCGGCATGGGAAGGAGCACATTAACTCCCTCGAGCTCCGGGCCATCCTCAACAGTGTACGTTGGCGAATCGAGCATTGTGGGCACTTCAACCGACGCATGTTGCACCTCACGGATTCGTTGGTATGTCTGCACGCTCTGACTCGTGGCAGAACCAGTTCTAGGCGCCTCAGGGCAACTATGTCGCGCATCAACGCTCTTGTTACTCGCAGTTCTTTTGGGCATATGTGTCAACCGACACGAACCCAGCGGACAAACCTAGCCGCTGGGGGTCTCGTGTCAAAACCAAGTTTAGAAATGCCTAAGAGAATAATTCTCGAAGGAGGAACAGAACAGGAGCGAGCCAAGATGCGAAAACAACTCGGTAGCCTTAAGGGGCTAACTGTGCAACCTGCCACCCGTAAGAGGTACGACAAAGCTGTTGATGGTTTCTTGCAGTTCCTCAAGGCGGAGAACCTTCACCTCCCTACTGATAAACGTCGTCTAGACCCCTTGGTGTGTGACTACCTCGAGCATCTCTGGTCTAGTGGCAAAGGACGTGGCCAAGCGTGTGACACGCTTGCGGGTTTGCAGGACACTCAGCCTGGTCTTCGTAACCATATACCGGCAGCCTGGAGGCTCCTGCGTACTTGGCAGCACAATGAAATACCAAGTAGGGCGCCCCCCTTGCCTGAACATGTTGTCCAAGCTATGGCCGGATGGGCAATTTTTAACAACCACCACTCCTTTGCGTTGTCACTGCTGATAGGATACTACTGCATGCTGAGGACAGGAGAAGTTCTTGGCTTGCTTTCCAGTCACATTGATTGTGCGAAAGGAGCTCTACAAGCTGTAATCAGCTTGGGGTTCACGAAAGGAGGAAAGCGGCATGGAGCTGCGGAAAGTGTGGTGTTAGGCCTGGAGCCGATCGTTCACCTCGTCAAAGAGTGGAAAAAGGGAGTGCCAATAGGGGCGCCCATGACTTCAACGCCTCCAAAGTGGCGACAGTTGTTCAACCACGCTTTAGAGAAGCTTGGCGTAGCTTCGTTCCAGTTCCGGCCCTACTCGCTCCGGCGAGGTGGGGCCACTTTTTTCTTTCAAAAGCACCAAAACCTTGATAGGATACTTGTACAGGGGCGCTGGCACACACAAAAAAGTGCCCGCCTATACCTCAATGAGGGCCTTGCAGTCCAGGCCCAGATGCGATTACCCCCACAAGATCCGAAATTGAAGCCTTACTTGACGGTGTACAGGAACTTTCTTTTGCGCCCAGCCTTTCCAACACTTGAGCCTCCTGTCGGAAGAACAGGGGGACGTGGAAGGGGACCAATGAAAGCCATGAAGCGAAGAAAATGACCGTTCAATTTTAATTTTTTCTTGTCGACTATTGTCAGGGAACTGCGTCCACCAGTGGTTAGGAGGTGTGGCTCGCCAAATGTGGAGCAGTCGGGGGATCCCACTCACCCAGGGTGTGGCCGGGTGTGATGGGTCGCCCTCCAAAAAGGTAGGGGAACCTTTTGGTCTGACGGTTAGTCGACTTCGTATGTGTTTCTTGGATGATTTAATGTTGACAATATCGCTGCGAAGTGGATCAAAAGTGAGTTGAATGCTTCTTTATATATATATATAAACAAAACGTTTAATCAAAATACACAACCAGATTGTCATACCTTGTCGACGGATTGAGGTCGATGTTCGGGTCATGGCGGTCGATGGGTGAGGGGTCTCTTCAGCGCTATGGACGCGGATGGATGCAGGCAGTCTATGGATTGGAGCCACAGCAGGTGGGAGTTGGACGGAAGGGATGGGGGACATCTAGAGATGGGGTGGATTGAGGAGAATGGCAAGCGGAGGCTTTTGGACGGTTCTAAAGAAGACCTGTTTGGGATGAAACGGTGATTGTAGGGCCCATGCATAGAGAATTATAGAGAGTTTTTGGTCGTTGCTTGTTGGGCGGGTGGGGGGAACCAGAACTCCATGAGCTATCCTGAGATCCTGCGCCATTCTCTCCAAAGCCTGCGTGTTGCTCGCTTTTGACTTCACAACACGGCGAAGCTCCACGCAGCGGACAAAAGCAACTCCAACATGGCGAGGAGTACATCTTCCGGGTCAAGGCTCAGAACGACTCCGGCTGGTCCGAGTGGTCGGACCTCCTAGTCTCTCGGACGGGGACGGGGACAGAATCGTCCCGAGGGTCGAACCGCGCACCCGCAACGAACCCGCAGAACCACGGTGGAGCGATAGACTGACCCAAGACATCTGTATGATAGGGAAGGGAATCAAAAGCAAAACACCATAAAAATGGGTGTTCCCTTAGAAATATGGAGTCTTGAGTCTTGAGATCAACACCCTGGGTCGCTTTCTCAAGTTCTTCGAACCACCGGGTCCATGGCTTTACATGTTCACCTCTTGATGACAGACCTCAACTCACCATTGTTGTCCTATTATAAGGTGAGTTGTAAGGATGTTGTATAACATACTCATCATAGACTCTCTTGGGATGTTGTAGTTGTAGGTACTGTAGTTTCTCTATTTTTTAAAAGTACCTCAGACATCCTTCGGCGTCGGTCTTAATCTGCGATGCGCATTCGTGGTGGCTTTTTGTGCCGGATTCCTTTCTTTCGCCGGGGTCTGGCTCTGTGGTCTATTCGATCAGACCCACCCTAGTTGACCTCCAACCGTCTTAGGTTTGGACTTCGGTGAGTACACCCAGGATCCAGACGCAGATGGCCTCCTTGCATCGCCACTCGAAGAACCGCTGGCTTCGCTCGGAGTCGTCGCGGAGGATCGATGCGTCGCGTCGGGGTGTGCCCAGACGATGGTTCCGAAGAATCCGAAGCGACCACCGTCTCACGCGGCCGGAAAGCGTGTCATGCCATCCAGAAACGCGGAAAAAAGAGACGTCACAATGTCAGCAACAACCACGGCCACAACGACAAGGACAAGGACAACGGCCGCAGCTGATCTTATGAGTATAGAGGTACCGGAAGCAAAGATGCTGTGGATTGATCCAAACGCTGGAGTGAGGTGGGTAGTGGATGGTATTGGATGTATTGGATTGTTTTCGTGAGACTCGGGTGAGGCTTTCTATGCGCGTTCTCTTGAGTCCAGTCCTCTGTTGCAGCCTCCGCATCGTGTCTTAGGAATTCATGATGCATCTCGCAGCAATGACTCTGGACGTGCTGCATCGTTAATGCTGACCTTTCCCGCCGCATGGATGCATTGCTAGCAGTACATCGCTGGCCCAAAAATAGGAGATGATGTTGATGGCAGTGACCGATGAAACTAACACGCACACACACACACAGAATCACAGAGGACTTGGCGTGGGCTATTCTGCCAAGGTACCCCAGAACCTCTGATTTTAAACACACCAACAAAAGGATTGATTGGTCCTTTACGAAAGGTCGGACCGTTCATCCCCTCCGTTCACCTGAGGTGAGTGCCCCTGCGGCAGCGCCCTGCGCTGCCGTGGCGGTGCGCTGCGGGGCGCGCGGGGCTTTGGCCAGTCGCGTTGGAAGTAAATGGATGGCCTCTTTTCCAGGCGCCGATTGGGCCAGCGTTGATGTCCTTTTGGAAGAATAGAGGGTTCCAGGTTCACATGAAAGGAAGGTTAGTCGCATTCAGTTGCCACATCTTCGAGCGATTCGAGGAACTATTTGTTCGTGAGTGTCTGGGAGGTTGTTATTTATTGCAGTGCTCTTGCTTCCAGGGCAGGGAAAGCATTGCTGCCGATGTGAATGGTATTGAAGCATCATATCTTGGCAGATGATGCACATGGCAAGAACCGTGTTACACGTACGTATATATTATGTTGTGGTCATCCTGCTCAATCACGCTGTTGAAATCTGTTGAACATGTCAAAACCACAATGGTTGCAACTTCTGCACTGGTCCAACCCCAATCCAAAACGAGACTGGCCTGCGCCTCAAAAGCAGCTCCAACCCGTCCAACGAGTGCAAAGCAAACCGTTCAACCCGCGACATGAGACTCACATGATCCAAAACATGAGTCCCAGGGCATCCAGTTACCACTATAGCTGAGAGTCCCAGTGATTCCAAATGACTAAGATACCATAAACCGAACGAATCCCTGGTTCCTTAAGTAGTGCTTTGCCTGGGATCCAAGCCTTGGCTTATAGTTACCACTAGAGCTGGGATCCTTATATAGTGGCTTAATGTGGCTTACTGTATCTATAGATTCTATAGGGCTCATCAATGAACTCTTCCAGTAGATGTAGGTAGTGGCTAGCTAACTCTTCCAGTCCGGTGAATGAATGGGTTTTTATATGTTCTTCTTCTTCTTATTCTTTTGTCCCAAAGCCAAGGGGCCAAGGGCGGCCAAGGGCGGCCCAAGGGGCTTCTTTCGTTTGAGGCCTCGAGGGAGAACACGTGACGTTCCACATCGAGGCGGCCAATGCGGTCGGTTGGGATCGACAGGACCGGCCAGCGTTGGGTCCATCCGCTAGACCCAAAGAAAGACCAGGTTTGGGATCAGTCATAGTTATCAAGTTATCATATTATTGTTCATTTTTTACATGTACAATATTAACATGTATTAACACATTCATATGTTATTGTTCTTCATAACTATTTCGTTTTTTTTTCTTTAAATATCACAGCAGGGAATTTATTGATCGAGATCAGGTAGCTACCACGAAGCTTCACGCATGTTTTCTCTCGGACTCCAATTCTTTCTGTTGGTGGTGGAACAAGTCAATCAGGGTTGAGCCACTCGCCTGTCTCAACTGCCCTCTCGACGCTGCTGCAGGATCTGTCGCTCCAGTTCTCGAACCAATCACCTGGCAATGCGGAGAGTGAATCACCTGTGACTTGGAGTCCTACCTTTGACACTTTCACACACGAGAGTTTCTCTGGTGGAAAAGGCCTCAAAAGTGACCGAAAACGACGATGCTCCCCTCTCCTTTCCTCAAACGCATCCTCACAGTTTCAGAGGCATGCCCCCCCCCTCAAAAAAGAAACAAACAAACATATCCCCCCAAAACGCCAACGAAAGCCCGAAAGCCACTCACGTTGTTTTTTCTTTTCCACGGGCCTTTTCCGGGTCTCCCGATTGGGGTCTTTCCGCCTCCCGCGGCGCCAGGTCGAGGCGTTCGCATCCCGCTGCGCGGAGCAGTCCGACCTGTGGGACGAAGAGCTTTGCTTTGGAAAGGCGGGGGGGGGGTGGCTCCATGCGGCCCGGTGGAGGCTGAATGCCGCCTGAGTGTTTGGAGATGCATTTTTGTGAGACATCGGAAAGACCGGGAACACACCGAACACCTGCTGCTCGTAGGTGGTTGGGGCCATGTCGGGCCAGATTGGGCCATGTTGCTATGGGTGAAGAGAGAGTTTGAAGCCAGCGGGCTCGCGCATTTGCCTTTGCTCTAATCGGCGTTTCGATGCGTTTCTGTTGATTCTGTTGACGGCGGTGGCCGTCAGGAGGCACGTTTTGAAGAGGCCCGGCTTGTGAAGAGGGCGCTCCAGGCGAGTGGACGACTGGGCAAACCTGACCGGGGGCAAAACCGACCAGGTATCCGAAGATCGTCGGAACACGCCAGAAAGCACACCTTTTTTGGGGGCCTGAGACCTTTCTTGAGCTCTTCTTGAGCTGGTTCGGAGGCATTGATTTGATACGACCACCTGCTTCCCGACGTTTCCTTCCTGTTGGAGAACCATGGTTTTTGCAGCCGAGCCGCTGCGGCTTAAAAAAAGGAGCCTTTGGTTCTCAAGGGACGCCACGTGATGTGAGTGGGCTCGAGGAGCCCACCTGTGGTGGGCGTTCTTGCCCGAGCCTTCTCAGGTGTCGAAGCTGAAAGAAAAGCCAGAAGTGAGTTGGTTGAGTCGATGCGAAGACTTCCTGCCGTCTCCGGAGCCAAAGTCTATGGACTCTCGGAGGCCTTTGGACATCCTGCGGCAGCCTCTTTCAATATCAAGGGACATGGCCTCTAAAAAGCCTTCACAATGAAGACCTCCAGGGCCAGAGTCAAGACCTAGACCATTAAGCATCGCTTGACCACCAATGGTTGAGTTTGGAGTGCATGTGGAGCATGTTGAGCACTGCATGTGGGGTGACATGACCCACTGAAGGAGAATGGAGTTCCATTCCGGTCTATCATTTTGTCAAGAGGACATTTCTGGAAAAGATATAAAAAGCCATTTCCATCCGTTTTCTGCTTTCCTGGATTTAGAAGAAGGGGTGAAAATCATTGGTCTCGTTCCGAGGAGGAACCACCACCCGGGCTTGTTCCGAGGAAGGCCTCGCCACAGCCATGGTGGCCTTCCAGCTCTTGATGGAAGGATGGGATCGGGAGAAAGGGAGAAAGGGAAGAGGCCTTGCCTTGGGCACATTTGGGCACCTGCTTCAGAAGTTTTTGAGAAATTGGATGCTTTTGGTAGATGCTAGGTGATGATTTTTCTGTGATTTGTAGAGCCCGTAGAGCCCGCTGACATCAGCGCGGAGCGGGAGCAACCATTTCCAAGTGCAAATCTGCTTGAGAGCTGGCGGACCAAACAATGGCAAGCTTTGATTGAGGTCGGTGTGATGCTAAGGCCCTCGAAAACTGGCCATATCACCCACACCCGCGGCCTGGCACAAACCACAGAAGGTGCGGCGCTGGCCATTCTGTATGGTTCCGCTGTCAGCCCAGCTTGTTTCAGCCTAGGTCCTGATGTAGAAGCAGCACATGGGAAATGCCGCTACTGCAATACTGATAGACCTGACCATGCTCAATGTTTTCTGGCAGTGCCCATCCAGACCGCCCGACAAGCAACCCTACACAGCTGGGGTGGCCAACACCTGCAGCACAACCTTCCGGGACAGCTGTCCTAAATGACCGACAGCTAGGCATTCTTACCAGCCCACCAGCAGCCTTGCTGCCTTGCTTATCAAAGCGCTAAGCTTTATCAGTCCCTTCAACTCAAAAGGGACGCAAACAGCACAACCAGCTTTGAAGCTGCGACAACCAGCATTAACAACGGTTTGCTTCTTCTTCGTCTTGCAGATCTGCTTTCTTCTTCTGGTGTCCAAGCGGGGTCCCTCCCCATACGCCGCAACTACCGCAGCTTCCGAGAGCCGCCGGTCGCGCGCGGCGCGCCGCGCGACCGACTCTTCGCTGGACCGATGGTCGAGGGACCAGACCCGGATGGCCATGCAGAGAAACATCGATCCGGCTTCGTCAGATGAGCGTCTTTCGATCGATCAATCAATCAAACATCTTCTTTCTTGAAAATCAATCAATCAATCAAACAATCAAACAATCAATCAATCAATCACCCTCACGGCTGGACCTGGGCTGGGTCGATTGGATTTGGCAACCGCAGGAGGTTTCGCACTGGAACAGCTGAAGCAGGATGCTGAAGGCTGGGTACATGCAAATGATGTGTATCTTTACATATTCAAGACATGTTTAAACACATAAATCCACAAGACCCCTTGATTCTTTTAGCTGTGCCACTTGACCTTGCAAAGGCACCTTTGTCTCTGTGGCAGGCCTTTGGCAGAACTTGCTCTTCTTGGCGGAAGCTTTGCCAGAGGACTTCGGTCCAAACGATTCGTTGGATCCAGTCAGTAGGGTTCATCCTTGGTCTTTGTCCATGTGCCCTGACACTTCTTTTGAATAGCTCCTCCACCTGACGTTGTTTGAACAGATGTGTGGGCTAGCACTGCAGATCCGTCCACTTTCCGTTTTCAAACAAAGTTAAAGTATCTTAAAGGGCTATACATTTTTATATACATTTTGTATTTTTCTAAACTTGGAAAGACAGTCCAAAGGTGTTTCCTCTGAGCTACTCTGAGTCTGTCCTTCAGACTTCACCCAGCTCAAATCCTGATTCTTTCTTCTATGCCATATGGCTACCGTTGGAGTTCCCCCAGCTATTGAACCGTTGGTGTCCAGGAAGATGGCTGGACCACATGGTCGGCCAAGCGCGATGCTTGGGCCGCAGAGCTTCAGGACCAGCGGAGCGGAGGGGAGATGGGACTGATGATACTGATGAGAAGATCAGATTGATGTATTGAATGTTAAAGAACACCCATCACAAACAATAAACACAAACAAACAAAGTGATTGACCACAAACAATTTGGAAGAGTAGAGAACACCCATGAACACCCATCACTTGTATAATCTTGTATATGAATTGCTGTTTGATGGGTGTTTTTGTCACATGAATTACTTGCTAGTGTTGATCTACTACGAGTTGTTTACCTTTGATACCTTCACTCAGATATCCAATTGACATCTTCACAATCGGTGAGGGTGAAGTGAAACGCCATCCATTTTGTCGGGCTCACTACTCCCCCATGTCAATGTGAATATATAACTTGTAAGTTTCTGGACAGGACACGGGTGATTGGAACAGATTATTTCCGGTGTCTTTTAGGACCAGCTGGCACCGCCTTGTAAGCCTTTCCGGCCACGGTTTGTGAGGAGAAATTTGCATTTGGGTGGTCCCGAGTGTGTGCTGCGGCCACTTGGTTGTATCTCTGGGTCCGGCGTTTTGTTTGGATGCAGAGGCTGGAGTCTCATGGCCGGATCCATAGAGGCATCACCGGATTGGTATTCGGAAAAGGGTCATCCGAAATCAGGGCCATGCCGGACACGTCCATTTTGCTTTGGCACCTCTTTTTCGTCGCTCCGTTGTTCTCCGCGCCTGAGGCTGTGTGCCTTCTAGCAGCAGCACTTGGTAAAGGCCTGACCATCCAAAATGACTGCAGATGCGAAGACAAAGCGTGAAAGGGTTCTCATACGTGCATACGTGCGGATGAATGTTCGCTCATGCTCGCTTTGTGGTGACAGCTTTGACCTCCCTATAGTCGTCCTTGCCCCATTTGGTAACTGCGGCGCTCAGGCGATTTGATCCTTCCGTTGAGCGACTTGGAGATCACACTGATGTGGGAGTGTGGGTCAAAAGCCAGGTACCAAACCAGCTTAGGCAACCTTAAGTAGAGCTCGAGGTGCTGAAGCCAGCATGTTCATGATGAGTACCACGAGGCCATGGGACATCCGAAAACGGGGGTACCATATTATACACATGTGCATACAGATGTTTGACACATATATGGATACACAAGCACATGTATGCTCATGTGTACTGCACATGACATCAGTTTGCGAAAGATTTCTGGAGAACCTTTCCCTTATTGGTAGAAGTTGATTCTGGAGCCACATAGTTGCAACTAGTTACGAGTCACTTGCAACCGCCTCTGGATTGAATATTCCAGATTGAAGATTTCTGGAGAAAGCTTCCCTTATGTCTTGAATTTAGAGCCGCATAGTTGCAGCTGGTTGCAAGTAGTTGCAAGTAGTTGCCTTAGGTTCAACATTGCCTTAGGTTCAACATTGCAGCTGGAGAACTTTTATATACATTCCCTCTAAAATCTCAGGTCTTGAATCCCACCCAATGTCCTGAGACGCAAAGAGACGCTTTGCGCCAAGCCTTAGGCGATGCGAAGCAAAGCCTTCGGCGGCTCTTGGAGACGCACGCCTGGCTGGAGCAAAGTCTCCAGGAGATTCGATGCTGGGAACCGAAGGCGATGGCGCGATCGATGGGACTTTGGGCTGATCATTCTGTTTTGGAAGGAGGGAAGGTGACCCTCCTCCAAGTTCTTTTTTTTTGGGGGGGGTTGAACTGGGTGGTCTCTCTATTTCAAGAAATTTCAAGAGGCACATACACTCAGACATTAGTTGACTCCAGCTCCAAGGGATCGTTGTTTTGTGGTTTGGATTCCTTTTGGAGTCACTGACAGGGATTCATACCAATCTATCAGGCACTTCTTCTCGGTTTGAATTCTTGATAGATGTCTGAACCTTCAAACCACCCAAAACTCACTCACCCTGCCCTGGAGTCCAGGCCTGGACATATGGCCTGTTTTTGTGATATGTCGTGCTTATTTTGCCCAATTCCCTTGTGCTATTTTGCATTTACCAAGCGATTGACACTCATCCAAGGAAGCTCTGCCGAGGATCTTTATCAGGTGGGGTCCCCGGTTTTTCGTCCAGTCCCCAGGCGACAGCGGTGAACGTCAAAGGTCGAGCGGTAGACGCCGGTGGTGAAGCCGAAACGGGTATCACGCAAATTCTTTCAGAATCGATAGAAACCAGAGATGTTTCAATAAACGTTGATAGATGATAATTAGATGAATTTGAGAAGTCGAAGGGTGGAGATGGTGAAAACAAGTCACCAAAACCATTGTGGTCCATGGTTTTACACTGTCAACACACACATGCATCATGCATGACCAACCACGACCAAACCATGGCTTTTTCGCTGCGAAACAAAACACGGCCATGGGACTCATCCGTGAGGGTTTCATCCACTATTAAGGACCCGCATGCCCTGCCATTTCAAGGGAAAAGCCTGCCCACACGGGCTGGTAAGATGATGAAAGATGAAAGCTGTGTCCCACGGCCATCGGTTCGCAGCTCCAGGTCCTCATGGGTTCAGACGTGGCCTTGAGCATCTATGCCGCTTGGAGTCACTGCAAAGCACGGCCACGGACCATGGGCCAAGCTTAGCAGGGAGGTCAACCTGCCATGGTTCGGGGGAATCATCACACATGATCCGTGATATTGGATGATATATCCACGGACTCTTAGTATGATGATGTATGATGTGTGGGTTTTCAACTGGTCTGAAAATGGAGGATCTCTTCCAGCATGGGTTTGACAGCCCGCGGTGAGAAACGTGGGTTGCTCAGTGTGAGGTGTTTCCTGAGCTTGCGGCGGTATGCGGCATCATGGCTTTGGACCTTAAGGGTTCCAAAACCCTAACCCCCAAACTTCCTGGATGTCGGATGATGGGGGCCCGATGGGGCCCGGAATATTCGAATACAAACTGGTGTTGCGAATACCAAACCTGTCTGTGGCTTGGCTTGGCCGCTCCGCTTCAGGAGCTCCATGGCACCGCCGCGGTGACCGCTCTCACCCAGCCCCTCGGGATGGGTTTCCACGCAGGGCGCGTGAAAGCGTGCTGAGACGTGCTATGACGAGGAGTAGTGCTTGGTGCATGTTTGGTCCATCGTTAGGCCAAGAAAGAGAGGGCAACGGTTTGGGTGTCGTGTACCTCTCCTGGAGGCTTTTTTTTTGTTACTTTCCACGGGCCATCATGTTCAGGGATATTCGGAGCATATGTCAGCTTTGGTTTGTGGACGCTGCTGGACGGGGAGTCACCTACACATGTGTAGACATGCCCCCAACCAGTCCATATTGAGGAACTCAGTAATTCTTGGAATGGACCGCATTTGCTGACCTGCCAATGGTGTTTGGCCATGTTTGGTCGGGCCAGATTGCGCGACAAGTCAAGGCAACATTTCTGTTGCACACTTTAAATCAGATCTAAGGTGATTTTCTTTATCCACGGCTGAATTGTTTGGTCGTGTAGTCATCCATGTGCATGTTGCTTCGTCCGATATGAACTCACCAGTGCACCGTGGGGTCGTCTAAGGCTCGCTGGATTGGGCGGAGCCTTTCACGTGGGAGTGCAGGCGATGGCTTTCTGGTTGGATGCTGGATGTGTTTTTCTCAGCACGACATCGATGTTTTCGGTGTTCTGCCAAATTCATCAAATTGATCATGACATTACACTTCCAAGTGCGTTCGTGGAGAGTCATGCTATTGTCCATCTCATCAGCTGTCTATTTTCCAGGTCTACTGGCTGGAATGGAGCTTTGGATGGTGTCAAGATGGATCTGGAATCCAGGCCATGCCTGCACTTTTCATGTTGCGCTTCTATTCTTCACAAGTCATGAAGGTAAGGGTTTCACCATCAAAACAGCATCCTTAGACTAAACATGTCCTGCAATTCCAACCTGATTCCCGGCCATTCAGCCTACCCTACGAATCCCCCAACCAACGAATGGAAAGGGGCTTCGGTTCCGCAGTGGATCACCGTGAAACCGATCATCATCCAACTCTGGGGAGCGAAAATCTGAGGTGATCCTCCCAAAAAGGGAGACACCCCCCTTCAAACACACAGTTGCTTGAACATGTCCTCCGAGAAATTTCGCCTAACACTTCAGTCTCACCTTTGGGGCTGGTTTTTTTACCCCGCGCCTTTAGGGTCTCCAGCCGCATCGGTGGGTCTCATCGTCGCTGGCACCCCCGCCGAGCCGTCCGTGGCGAGGCGCTGCGCTTTGGCACCAGCGACTTGGGTCGCTTCCGCGAGCGCCTGCCGCTGGGGCGCACGCCCTTGGCGCCGGAGGAGGAGCGGAGTGGGCGGAGTCCGGTGGGAGCCACCTGGCTCAGGGGTTGAGATGGGTGGTTTGATATGCGTTTTGATAAAACCCAAGGAGCCTACAGAAGGACGGCAACAGAATGGACTTGCGGACTTGCGGACTTGCCGGTTCTCAGTGTAAGTCGACGCCAAGCACAGACAGAAACACTAGGAATGTCAAACCTTACACAGAAATAGCACAGAAATGCACAGAAGGTTTTTTTTTGCATTTTTGTAGGGGAGAGGAAAAGGCCAAGAAGACCTACAATATTTTCTAGGTGCACCTGCACATGGGGTTCGTGAAAGATTTGCAAACGTACACATTTTACACTCCCAAAGCCAGGCCGTTTTCATGAACAGGAATTGAGGTCAACCACCAAATTTCACTGCTCGTATCAGGCAAGCAACCATTTGCCTTGGAGAAAGAAACGCATGCAGGTCCTGGCAGTTCTTGCTGACATGCGGAAGCAATGGGATGGACAGTCGTGCCCAGTGGATTGTCTTGAGAGAGTGTTGAGTTCGCATGTAGTGATATATATTTGGAACGTCAAGGAGTCTTTGCAGCAATCAACAGTACCTTTTTACCATTATGGGCTGTTCCAGAGCGGAAGTTGCTTGTTGGTGAGGTACGACCTTCTCCGTCGCAACTGCGCACATTTCAGCAGCTTGAGAGCAAGTGATTATGAAGACGGTGGGACCAACACAGAGCTCCAAATGATGGACATCCACCTGGAATGTTTGGAACTCTTCTCCGCACCACATCCGCATAACATCCGCAGTCCTCCTCACTTGCAAGCAGCAATGCAAGGACAGGGTTTATTGATGTTGTTGTACACTCTGCGGAAACCCGTGTTCCTCGGTGTGTGTTTGCGATAGGAGCTATACCGCCTCGTCTTCGCCCCGTTCTCCCTCCGGGCACAGCTCCGCCAGGTGTGGACTTCGTGCGGCGCCTGCGAGTCGAAGAGGCCTGGTGGCTGGGTGGAAACAGGAATCCCAAGCTGGGTGGCCTGGTGGCTGGGTGGCCTGGTGGGCTGGTTTCGGTGGTCACACAGCAAATGGAGCTTAATTGGACTTCAAGTCTACAGATCTTCCGGCACTCGCCTCAGGCGCCCGAGTGGATCAACGCCTTAGCCACCGCCGGAGGGCAGATCGCTCAGTGGTTGGGTGTCTTCCGACCGGTGCTGCTGCAGGAGCCCTGGGCCCTCGGTGGGGTAGTGTTTGGGGCAGCGGTTGACTCGGGGGTTCAACCCGACTACTAGTAACAAGAAGCTATTATTTTAGATTTAATTCTAATAGCTTTTTGTTACTACTAGTAAGGCACTTGTTACTACTAGCGTGGCACTTGTTACTACCATTCCACAGCAGCTTTTCCGGGCCGAACGGATCCGAACCGGTTGCTTTGCTGCTCCGAACATGTGTTGGGCGTCAGGTGGAGTGGACTTGGCCCCTGTGGGTGTCATTTTTGCCTTGTGAATTACGCTGTGCAATGAATGGCTTCAACGTGCCGACAGCGTGTTCCGAAGCCCTCGCGGAAGATGGCAGGAAGACTCCGAAGCCCTCGCGGAAGAGAAAGCACGAGCCCCTAGACTTGTTGACCTCGGCCGTGCAGAGCCACTCAGATTTGTTGAACAACTGGCCTCCTCCAGAAACTGAATTCGATCACTGGAAGACTGTTTTCCTACATGCTGTTTTCAAGTTCCATGGCAATCTTTGGGTATGTCAGGTATGTAAGTTTACATTGGCTGGTGGGACGAGGGGAATCCGATTTTGAGCAGTTGCCAAATGGCCAATCCGATCGGAATTTCCCCCGACTCCGAACGCCTTCGGAACCGCCGGATTTCGCGTCGCAGAAGGCGGATCTGGCGTCGCCCTCCCCTGCTGAGTTGGAGGAGTGGGCCTGGGCGCTCGAGCCACTTGGCGCCGGTGGGGTCGATGGGGAGACTGACGGTCTTGGCGCCAAAGGAGCAAGGGGGAGCTACAGATGCCACTTCCCAGACGAAAGTCATGGGATGTTTGAAATGCATTAGGATTGCCAGAATATGCCTAGTTGCTTCTTGTTCTAGTAGTAGTAGTAGTAGTAGTAGTAGTA